TCATTTTATGAACACTATTGAACGCTGAATTTAAAAGATTTAATGTATTTAATCATTAGGCTCACTCAGTGTCCCCATTTTCCCTGCCATGACAGAACTTGGAAGAGCCTTTAGAGTTAGCAGTCTTTGAAACAGAAGCTTTAGGCCCTCACACTGATGACGCTGTCAAGACTGAACTATTCAATGCATTTCTTTAACACCAGGAAACAGGCCCCTTCAAGACCTGATTGAGATATGAAGTGAGACTTTCCCACTTAAAGCACAAAGTTCCATTAAGTTAAATTAAATTGTAAATTTTGGGTGATAACTTGAAAAAACACTACTCAGTATAGAAGCAACTAAGATTTTCATAGTTGTCTATCATTACAGCAGGCTTTGTTTGTTGCTTAAGTCAGAACTGCTATGATTTTTTCTTATTATTTCAACTGAAATTTAAACCAAAACTGTTGCACCAGATACTACAAAATTAAAACTAAAAAAGCAGACAATATTGCCTTTGCCACATTAATTAACTACGGTGAGTTCTATTAACTCATGTTCTCTTAAGATTCCATTTAATAGATGTGTTGTTTGTTAAAGTCAAATAATCAGATGTCTTGCAAGAGATTAAATGTCAGAATCAGAGAGGAGATGGGGCAGACGAGCCTTTAAAACCCCCTTTATTCTTCACTATATCAGCTGATCTGGTAGACACTAATCATCACTTAAAGGGAGAAAGAATAAAGTAGTGCTTGTTTCATCAGCTGAGGATGAATCAGCAGTATCTTAATAACATCTCTTCAACTATCTGCATCACGGACCTAGAGTAGTGCTGTTGTGCAGAGGTTACCCCAGAGAATATGTCATTGTACGGATTTCCCAATTATGTCTGCTTTGTACAACAAATTAAGTGAAAAATCTGGGCATTAATGTCATGAATGGCCAATGGAAGGCTGAATTTTTCTTGCTTCATTTTTTTTGGAACCTCCTTGTGGTGCGACAAGGTTTGTGATCTGCTGCCCTCCGATGGATACTTACAGAGGTTACGTCTAGAAGAGCAGGACTGTGCAGGCACGGCAGGAGCACCATGCTTGAGACCATTAAACTTCTTTAAAAAGCACTACAGGAAAAAAAAAAAGAAAAAAAAAAAAGTAATAAAGTGCTAATTATATTATATTGGTACATATTATATATATTATATATTGGTACATATTATATGTGGTACATATTGTGTACCACATTTAGCATCAAAAATCATATCTGGGTCTCATTTCTTAATATTGCTATTTATTTATTTATTTATTTTGTCAGGGTACTTTTACATCCAAGTAGACATTTTCTAGTTCATTCTATGACACATCGACCCTTTTCAATCAGCTCTCACTCTTTCATGATTACATATGTAACATAACACATTCAGTAATGATATCCCAGTATTGCATCTGATAATGCAATTAATCTGCCTGCTAATCATCTCTTCATGATTATTATTGATATCCTAGACCTCAGTTTAGCATTAATGTTTAAAAATAAAACCATGAAGACTTGCTAGGTTAAGCGTTTTCTTTCTGTCATGCACAATTCCTCTAAAAATATTTATCTGTATTACCGGATATTTTAGAACAAGAGATGAATTTGACATGTAATGTCTTGCCACTTCCACAGGGCCCCACAGAAATCCGGTGTGTGAGGCTCCCTCAGCTCTGCAGTGATCTAAGACACTGGATGTTAAGATCACCACGTTAAAGAATGCATATGTCCTTTCTTAAAACTCTCTATGGTGATGCTGGTATTAAGGCAAAATGGTTTTGTGAGGGTTATAAAAGCGTAAAAAGGTTGCAAAGAGACATTTGAAACACATTTTCCCTCACTAATTTAGCGATGATGAGGTGCTGATTAAAGGGAACCACATACACCTATTTGGAGCAAGATTCAGGAACAATCTGGGTGTGCCCCAACACGGGTACCAACAGCTCTTTTTCTCCTCTGACCTCAGCCTTCAGTTAAAAATGAAGTAAGTTTCTATTTGCCCTATGTGGATGTGAAAATAATCTTAAAAATGTAAATCCTGTGAATTCGTGGAATACCTTGAGAATCCCGCAAACCCCTTGTTTTCTCAGTAAGGGGTGAACTCTCATATGATACCGTTGTTAACGAGTTAGACGTTTCATTCCTTCCTGACAGAATGTCCCAAGAAGGTACCGAGTTGGGTAACCCGGCCCAGTTTACACCAGCCTAGCACCAATTCTTACATTTTTCGGGACACTGCATGCGTGTGGGTTCACATCAAGAAGTATTGTGCACAAGTTGATTGGGAAAATTATAAATCAAGCTTTGGCCAAAAAAATAAATAAAAAAATCCACCATGTTATATATGGAGTGGTAATTCGTGTCGATAAGATGATTGATATTAATAAAGAAGGGGGAGATGTGGGAGTGTGGCCATGGGAGTCGGAAAGCCCCGTGGTTGATGGTAACATCAGACTCTTAACGATGAGGCCATCAGGAATGTAAAAGAGTTTAGAGGGAACAAAGAAGGGTGATTCAGGAGACTCCATGCAGTCTCGGGTTGCTTGTTCTCTGTTCTCCGGCCGTTGAGGCGTGGAAGTTTCTGGGTGTTTGCTGTTGTTGTTGTATGCAAAGTTGTTTGACCAATGAGAAGTTGTTTTTGAAAAGCATTGCTGTGGGGAGAAGGGTATAAGAGGGGAGCCTGTCCTCGAGATAAAAAAAAAAAAAAAAAAGGGAAACACGATGAAGTTGCGTCATCAGTAAAGAAGTAGAAAGAAGGAATGAAAAGGAACAGGCTGGCAGAACGGAACGGAGACCAGGACGGGAACAGACACATTGATCGCCTCATGAAGATGGGTTTGGCCACACTCAGCAAACCGCTCAGAGAAGCTCGTACTGAAAGTTGCTGGAAACAGGCGCACCGGAGCTGGGAAGAAGCTCAAGCTGAGAGAAGCGGAGCCGCGCACACAACTGCCCCTCGCTGGTAAGCAGCCGGGCATTATGGGGAATCATACGTCCTTAGGAACAAAGACTGTCCTGGTAGCCTCACAGCTTATTCTCTTTATTAACAATCGGACAGTTAATGATCCTGAAATATGGGACCAAATTGAGGTCAAGGTGTGCGACTCCGCAACTGAAAACGACAAGGTTGCAGTGGGATTTCTTGGCACCTGGCGAGCAGTCCCTGAGGCCTTAAAAGAGCCCTGTGGGACCGCAGTCACAAACGTGTGGTTTGCCAGACAGTGAGGGAGCTGCGGGCTCCTTTACTGATCCTTCTGCTACGCCATGGGGCCCTCTGCCGCTACAGCCACCGAAGGCTTTTGCTGTTACGCCCCCTGGTGACCTGGACGTGCCTTTTGACCCAGGCCCTATTGGCCTTGAAAAGGAGATGGATATGCTTTTCTTCGATCTATGAAGAACGGGATACATAAGGCCTGAAGACCGAGTTGCTTGACAACTTAAAGCAAGACATACTGTTCAAAAGGAATGGAAAATGGAGACTGTTAAGTCATGGAACTTAAAGGATTGTTTGTTACCTTTCCTGATTTTACGTATGTGTAGGCATACTCGGGTTTAGTATGTAAAAGCAATGTTCTGTACATTTAGAATGTTTGATGTTCATGTGTGCGTGTTGGTGGAGTGTAGACTCCCCGCGCACCCAGCGCTGTTTAGTTGCCTTTTATACCTTTTATAAATATTCTTTTATAAATATTCCTAAATTCAGACTGAGTTGAGACTTCATTTATAACAAATTTGTGACCCCGACGTGATCTTCTTGGACTTTGGATCTGCGACCGGTAAAGAGAGGCGCCCCACATAGCGGCCCTTGCCGATAGTGGTGCTACAGTCCAACAAGATTTCGAACATAAGAGGCAAGCAAAGAACCAAGAGCTCTCCCTTTGTGACCCATAATTCTGCGTGCGAAGACCCGAACAAAGATGCTGTTCAGTTGGGTGGGATTTGGTTGTGTGACTGTGTGTAAGGGTGTGACTGAGACAGTACTTAGTTCCAATCGAGCGCGGAGGTCTTCTAACCGCGGTTCTGATCTCCTGTGAGGGCCTCAGTCAGTGAAGGACCTAAGCGATTGCTCTAGGAATTCGTGGGTGGGCTAACCACTTGCAAGGCACCTCTAGACACAGGCACAGCCAGGGATTCGAAACCTCTTTGAGGGTTCCAGGGACTCGGAACTTATTTGAAAGTTCCAGGATGGGTCAGGTGAAAAGGGACCCATAACAGGAACTTGGAAGATTGAGTCTACTCCTGGAGATTTGAAAGTTAGGCTTAAAAGAACTTGAAGTATATCGGGGCATAGCTCCCCCCGTTGGATGCTAATTGTAGTGATCGAAGTAATAGGTGGGAAGTATACCTAGAGGATTGGTTATTTATTTTGATCAATCGAATTTGATGTGTATGGTGCTGCTAGTGATGATTATTATACACTCCATGGAATGAGTTGGGTGAAATATTATTCCAACCATTGCTAAAAACTTGTTTCTAAATCTTGCTGAGAATATTGTGAAAGCATTCTTTTATGGTTCAATTGGACTTGGCCAAATTTGAAGCCAAGACACGAATTAATGATATTCAAAAGAAGAGGGATTGTTATATATGGAGTATACTCCCTATATAGCACTCCTGATTTGTATGTATGTATAGGCATACTCGGTTTTAGTATGTAAAGCAATGTTCTGTATATTTAGAATGTTTGATGTTCGTGTGTGTGTGTTGGTGGAGCGTAGACTCCCCGCACACCCAGCGCTGTTTAGTTGCCTTTTATACCTTTTATAAATATTCTTTTATAAATATTCCTAAATTCAGACTGAGTTGAGACTTCATTTACAACAACCAGAACTTGAAAATTCAGATCCTTTTCTAAAAGGTTCAGCCAAGCTGATTGCGTCTTTGCGAGCCTTTCCCCAGCCTTTCACCCGCTATTTCACCACACACCGCTGAGCCCCGTGTGCAGTCCCACTCAGTTGCCTGTCGCCACGTCCCGAGCCATTGCGCGCTCCCCGCCCACCTTCTCCTCGGGAGGGAAACCTCCGGCCCCACAGCCCCCGCTTCCCCGGCTCCTCAGGGCCGTGCCGGTGACCGGCTCCGCCCTGGCGGCTCCGCGCCCTCCCCTAGCGGGCGGGAGCGCGGCGGCTACGGGCGGTGAGTTGTGGCGGCGGGCTGCGGCCCGGCCCGGCGGGGGAAGGGGCCCCGGAGCGAGCTGGGCCTCGTAGTCCGCTCCCGGCCGGGTGGGGTGGCGGCCGGCTGCTGCCCCGTGCAGGGAGCGGGGCTTGGAGCCCTCGGGGCGGCTTCGGTCCGTCCTGAGTCGTGTCGCTGCGCCGGGCGCGTGCCTTTTCCCCAAAGCCCAGCCGGAGCCGATGGAGCAGGGCCCGTCAGGGAGGGAGGGAGGTCCGCTAGTGGCTGGCGCTTTGTGGCCTTTCAGACTTCGTACTGTGAACGCGGAGTGCTCCGAGCTGCCAGTGAAAGCATGCCAAGTGCCGTGTAAAATGTCCGAGTGCCACAGCTGCAGCATGAGGGAGAAGAGTAAAACAAAACCTGATCCATTTCCTCCCTTTACATTGTAAAGTTTGTTTTTCCATGCTTGGTTGTCTCTATTTCGTGGAGGCTACAGAAGGTGAAGTGACGAAATACCGTAGTGTGGCAAATCTCCGCATACGGCACTTTTTAAGTTCAGTGTCCTTAGTAAGAATAAGCAGCTTCCCTCAGGCCAGCGTGATTAACAAGTTCTGTTGGCTTGTCCTGTCAGGAATTAGTTTTATGTGGCACAAAAAGCTGTGGAGAAGGGCCGGTGAGATGGCACCATTTCCTTCTCTGAAGCTTTTGCACTCTGGGCACGTATGAAGATGCAGTCCTTCAAAGACTTCACAAAGTTTGGCTGAGAAACTTCTACGTTTGCATATCCAATGGGTATTAAATCCAACACAAGCATAATAGTGATTGCATTTAGATTACTGTGGTGGCTGAAGGACTGGTGCTGGTTTTAATACCTTGATTGTTACTGAGAGTGCAGAGTAAATGAGACTACGTTCTGCATGGAGAAAATGCACCAGCTGAAGAGAGCTGACAAGTTTTTCAAACTCAAAGGCATTATTATAGAGATGGTATAACTGAAGTTCAAAAATTAAGGGACAGTGGCATTTGGTACAGTTTCAACAGGGAAAAAAATGACTTAATCAGAAACATGTAACTTCACAAAAGATTTTCCAGTGCTACAGCAGCATCACAGGTTAGGGCACTGTATGGCCAGGAACCTGTGCAGCTGCTGTAAAGTGAGTTAGAGACCCTACAACTCTGAGGCTGTCTCTATTTGAGTGCTTATAAAGCGCAGCATGAGCTAAATGGTTGTTAATGCACAGATATATTCTCAGAGTTCACATGACAAAGTCTTCTTGCATATTCTAGGTTGGTTGAAATCACCAAATCTCCTGAGTTTAAACCAGATTGACAACCAGAATCAAAACCACATGTATCTTCCTCCCAGCCCCACTAAAAACATCATGTTGGTCTTTCTAATAGCCTTCTTAGCTTCTCAACCCTGAATAAATAAATAAATAAAAATAAAGGAAGCTGCAGGAATAGTCATTTTTTATCCTTCTTTCCCTAGTATGTTGACTTTCCTGTTTTCTGTACGACTATGCAAGCCTAAATTCCAGAAGGACTGACTATGACTAAAAGCATGAAGGCTTTAGAGCACTGAAAATTAGAATGGGATGAAAAGTATTCCTAAACGTTAATTTCTGAATTTCAGACATGACTCTTGGTCAAAAAGTTTGTGTCTGGTTCCAAGATTGAAAAAGGAAACATTCAGAAAGAAAAAATTAATACCTTTCCCCACAAAGACCAGTGTGTTGTCTGTGTTTGAAGAACCTTACAAATTTTTAGAAGAGTTGAATAGGATTTGCAACACCCTTGTAGCAGTCACGCACTGTGTAACTTTCCTGAAGTGGAAGAAACTTTCTGTTTGGATGAGAAAAACTTACCATAGGACATTATAAAACATCCCATTGACAAAACGCGTCGAGGTAATAATTAAGCATGCAATCATCCTAAAAGTAACAATAATTCTCTTGACCCTGTAGTATGTGTTAATATGTCATATAAAATAATAGTGTGAATGTGTGTGCGTGGAAAAAAAGAGCGGGTCGTGCTTGCTTTTTGACATCAGTGTGGGTAATTGTCTGGGTATATTAAGGAGGCCTTTGCCTTTACTTCCTTGAGTAGCTTAAATGGAAGCATTCAGTGTTGCAGAACTGCAGAGAGAAGAGTATTTCCTGGAAAAGCATCATAAAGATTTAAATGCAGCAGGACAAATTTTCCATACTGGGGCCTGGACTTGGCTTTTTGAGGTTGTTCTACAAAATATTTTTTCCATTATGTTCCTTATAAAGTTTTGACAATTTCTACAGTTCTGTGGAGTTAAACGTGGATATCAGTTTTTAGCTCAGGTGTTCCAGGTACCTTCAGAGATTGGCGTGATACGGATCTGGTGCCCCTCATGCAATGTGGTTTTGTGTGATTGCCTCACATGAAACAATGACCTGTCACATACCATATTTTCATGCAGCAATAATGTGAGAAATATTTACAGATTTTTATTTTTATTTTTTAATTAAGGTTGCAAGTTAGTTTTGTTTGGAAAATTCTGATTTCATTTTGCTACTCCTCAGTACAAAATGAAAGAGGTAAAGATACGCATGTTTGTCACACTGCAGTAACTACTGCAGTTATTTGCAGTACAAGTAAGGCTGACTCTTGGAAGAACAGCACTGTTGCAGTTACATTATAAGATAAGATAATATCCATACATTATGCAAGTAGTTTTTGTCAAAATATGCAGTGAGAAAGGCTTCACTCTGTACTTGTGAGAGATTATGTCAAATATACCAAGTGCATATTGGTGTATTATTAAAACTGTATTATTAAAAGTGACCTAAAATGTATTTGCAGGTCTTATAAAACATATATTTATTTTGTTTCTTTCAGAGTATCTGCTGACTAGTGTAAAATATTCAATTCTTGTTTATTTTTGCTACTCGTTAGGCCAGCAGAGTTGAGGAAAATAATAGTGTTTCTCCTTTTGAAGGAAATGTCAGTGAATTGCATACTTGCAGGTCACTAAGTGGGCATACACTGATATTACTGAGGATCTAATTGAGTTAGCTACAACTCAGTAGTGTGTGGGAAAGCCTGTATTTTCAGAGCTGAGGCTGAGTTTGTAGCACTGGTGTAAAAGAGGCAAAATGAACATACTTTTACAACTTAACTCATTCAATGAGGCACCTTTAAAAGGAATATTTGTGGACCTTTTATGTTAGCTTACATTTAAAATAGAAGGAACACTTTCTTGTTGTAATAAATCAATTCTTCATGAAAAAGTAATGCTGTACTATTATATTTAATTACCCTCTCAGCTTCTCTCTGCAAAGCTTGCATGGTATTGTTTTACAGGTGACAATGTTAATATTTTCTAATAAAAGTAGTGTATTATTTTTTCTTTTTTAATTTTCTTTCTGTTTTCAGGTAGCAAAGTCTGGAGGGAAGTGGGGGCTGCCTATTCCTAAATAAGTAAGCTTTGGAAAACAAATTTAATAATCGTATATCTGTGCCTACTGTATTTCTAATTTAGGTGTATGGGTTATATATTTTTCTCTTACAAATTCCAGTCATTTTGACAACATCATCCAATGCACATGTTTAAACATACATCCTGAAAGCAGTTAACTTAAGTCCTAGCTCTTACTTCTTTTTTATGGTTATTGATTAACAGGGTTCGTTTTCTGTAGTCCGTGAATGACCCATTACACCACATGGAACATCTTTCGTAGCTCTCTGTTTTCTCCCTTTTGATGTTTGCCCAGTCATTGAGGCAAAACTTAGAATAGTTACATAAATTGTGTAGGCCTGCATCTGCAGTGTGATCTTGAGTATCTCAGTTGCAAAGTGCATGATTTTAAACACTTGAAAATTGAGACCAGTTTTAATGGGGTGTGACTTAAAAAAAAAAAAAAAGATTCTTTTTATTTCGCGTCTTAACTGGCAACTCGGATAACAAATTTTATTACACAAACATATTTTCACAATTCTAACAGAGACTTTGAAATGCATTTAGTCTTAATTTTCATCCAAAGGAAAACAATGACAACAACAAAACAGCATTTTCAGATAGAGGAAACTTTTCCTTTGTATGACATTCAGAAACATTTTTAAGCCCTGGTAATAATTTACTAGAACTGATTTCAATGAAAGAAAATTTCTGAAAGGAGGAAAAGAAGGTCTTATCTTTTAAAATTACTTAGTGATTCTTTAGTTTACTTAGGTTTCCTTAGTTTAGGAAACTTGTTCCTGGAATCTGTAAGTTTTTTTCAGGTTATATACTTATTATACAGGCATGCTATGTGCTTCACGAAGCTTCAGTTACCTTGGCATTAGAACATACCAGCTACGAGCAGATTTGCTTTCTAGATCTATCAAGCTTTCAGCCTCTGATGTAAGTATTCCATCAACTTCATAGATAAAACTATTTAACGCAATATTTTAGAGATGCACTGATTTTGTAATGTTGCCAATAAACATATATTAGCTGTACTTTCTTTACTTCTTGTTACATTGACTCAAACTTTTAACATTAAGACTACAGTAAGTTATTCCTACCAGTGAAATATTTAGCCACACTAGCACAACAGTTCGGCAATCATGGCTTTGTGTATCCTTTTCAGTCTTTAAAGTCAGAGCTGCAGGTACCAGGCCAGGAGGATCGCCTAGTTGTTAGGGCACTAGCCTGAAATATAGGAGACTGATTCGATCCCACCTTTATCACAGACTCTTGGTAAGTCAGTTAATTCTTTTGTCAGTTTTCTGCTAATGAAACGCAAGTAGTATTGCTTCTTGATGCTGCAATAACAAGGGATGTATAAGTACCTCAAACTTAATTTTATACAGAATCTTCTTCATTTCCCAGCTTAACTGCTTATGAGGTTGTGTAACTCCAGTTTAAGTCTTTCAGTTTTGTTGAGAGAAAAAAGCATTGCAACACGATGGGTGGCTGCAGGTCATGCTCTGCATTGCATGTAGAAGACTGGATTGTAAATTGTCCTCTGAGGTCAGAACAGGAGTTCATCTAGTCAGCAGCTTGGGTCAACCAACGCACATGTGAGATTGTCCAAAACAGGTGTTGAAACTATTATGCAGACAACCGTAGAATAGTTGGCTTATATGAGAGGCTTCTTTTAACATACAAGCCACTTTGGGGGCTGGATTTTACCTGAGTCAGTTTTTCGTTTTCTGTAAGTATTTGTATTCTACTTAATGTACCTGGATATTCTTACTGACTATGCTGAAATCTAATCCTGTTTTTCTTTTTGAATTTACTTAAGATTTTGGCTTCAGCTGTAGTTTTCAACATTGAATTTCACAGTTTAATTATATACCATGTAAAAGTATTTACTTTTGTCATTAAACATATTCCCATTCAATTTAATCATGAGTTTCTTTGTATTATGAGGAAAGATAAATACAAGTAGCATCTGACTTTCCATCTAAAGCAATCAGTGATAGGGAAAGCAGGAGGTCAGAATTAGAACTTGATGAGGACATGCCTGTCTTGTTTAATGCTGATCTTAAAGTCATGGAAATCCTATCCTTGTGCCTAAAAATGGCTTGAAGACGATCAAGCTATGATGTAACAAGGTTAAAGCAAAAAAGATTCTTAAGGAGAGAATCTCTTCTGGGAGAAAGAATGCTTCTTAGGGTATCATTTATAAATGCAAGGTATTTTGCTTACTTTCTCAAGGTAATGGGTGGCTCTGAAGTCTGCTGTATGTTGAACCCCTGATGACTAATGCAGGTCCAGCTATTCCATTTTAAAGCTAGTTTCAAGGAACAAGAAAAACTAAATAGGAAGACATAAAATACTAAGTATTTAAACTTAAAATAGTATGAGGGCTGTAACACTCAAAGGCTTTTTTTCTTAACTACTTTTTTGGCAAGGGAAAGTTAGTTACTGCAATTAAAATTTCTGTTACATTTAAGGATAAAATCCTACAGTGTGGATAAGTCTTTAGCTTTCAGTAGATTGAAACAATTTCAAGAAGAGTTTGTCAACAGAACAAATTTCCCATGGTACTATACAGAATTCTCATTTTTTAACTGTGAAGATTCAAGGTGAGATTTCCTTTTCCTTGTAGTGTGAGTAGTGATCTGGTATGTGGAAAAAAAAAAAGTGTGCGTTAGAGAGGCTCAGACTAATACTTGTGTTACTGATACTTACATAATACAGCCAGGGGTTAATTTACTAAGACAAACGTTGGAAAATTGGATTCATCTTTTAAACCATGTGTTTTTCAATAGATGCAGTACAGATCACCTACTCAGAACTCTCTCTTAACTGTGTTGTATGTTCCATATCAGGAAGTACAACTTCACCTGTCTAGTTACTTCAAATATATATTTTTTCTTCCTGAGGATAAATGAAAGATGTCACTGTTTGGTTCCTCTGGTACTTACGTATTACGGATGAGGTCAGAATTAAATCTGTACAGAAGACGTACAGTAAGTAGAGAAATATCTGTTAGCTTAGTAATATGATTTTCCGTTTTTCAAAACATTCCATATGTGGTAGTTTTTTTATTTTTATTTTTACTGTAAACAGGTTGAGCACAAATGTGTGCCTGTGTAATACTTCAACTACGAGTTAATTCCATCGATTCAAAGTTGAAACTTTGAGTGTAATGGCAACTTAGACATCTCACAGTGTGCTAGCTGGAGTATGCTTTTTTAAAATTTCTCACAGCATAATAGCAAGCAGTCTTACATGAAAGCCACTAAAACGAGTAGTCTGACTAAAAGAAACAGCAGTATTCTGGAGTTTTGGGGGACTTGTTTTCTGTGTGATTTTTTTTTTTTTTTTTCTCCTCAGTATCTAGCTGGTTTACAGATAGAAACGGGCATGCACTGCTTTTTTGTTGTTGTTGTTTGTACATACAAATAAATCTGTTGATTTTATATTCATTTTTTCTTTCTTAGCTTAAATATACCTGAACTGTCAGTAAGTTTTGCTCTGCCTTTATAGGGAGGACTCAGTAAAAGGCTATTCTAATGATGTTTTCTAAGGCCTTAGCTAAAGTTCAGAATATACAGCAAAAAAAACATGCTCTAATGTGATTTTGCTGTGTTGTAATTAAATACTTAAAAGTGTTGAAAGTCTGAATGAAAACATGAAATGTCTCTCCTATTTTCTTGTTAGCTACCAATTTAACAAATAAAATTGCATAGAAAACACACTTCCCAAACTGGATTGGGCTAGAAATAAATTAGTCTTTAAATCCTTAGTGTATCATACAAAAGAAGAAGAACGAATGTATCCTTTTTTAATTATTTTATTTTTAGGTCATCTTCTCAAGTTATTGACCTACATTATGCCTCTGCTCCATTCTTGCTGCAAGTTCAGTGGGTTTAGATGATAATGAATGAGAATTTAGGACATTTTTGTGTATTTTCTTCTTAGTCCGTATTCAAGCTATTATAGAAGCTTTAATGAAAGACTATGTCTATAATTCTGTGTAACAACTGAATGCAACTGGCAATGCTGTATTTGAGAAAGCATGAAAGAGGGTTTGTCCTGCATAATCCAACAATAAAGTATTTTGTCTTTCTTAACAAAACCCTTATGTCTGTATATCTCGATCTTGCAGACAATGGCCTTCAGACACAAAAACACAAGACGAATTGAAGGCCTTGACAGCAATGTGTGGTAAGTAAAAGGAAAATATCAGCAAATTCAGAAAATATCTTTGGTGGATATATTTTCTTTCCAAATTCATAGTTACTACTAATAAGAACATGCATAGCACTTGCTGTCTCTGCTGAAATATATTTGGCATCTGTTTAAGACAGAAGCAATTAATTAAATTCTGTTAAAGCTCAAAAATAATAATTTAATTTACCTTTTAACATTAGGCTTAGGATTCTGTGTATTTAGTAAACCATATGAGAGAAGGATGGCTCTTGGGTGTGGTAGTATTTCTGGCTTTCAAATTTAAATGCGAGTATTGTTGAGTAATTATTTCACTTACACTCGCTTTTTGTTTCCCAAATTAATCTGATTTTATTTTTAAACCATTATAATTGCCTTGATAATTTAAATCATTCATTTCAATACGCTTTTTTTTTTGTAGGTATTAAATTGGTCTCAAAGCACTATTGCCATCACTGGTAAAGATGGGATTTTGTTAGATGATGATAATGATGTTTTGGGCTTACATTAGTGTGTATGTATGTGTGCGTATGTTACACATGTAAGGTATTTTGTCATCTGTCCTCAAACTCATTTTTAGCAGTTTGTTTTTGATTGAACTGTGATGCATTTTTTGTTGTTGTTGTTTTTTTCTTTTTTTTACTAGTCTTTAATGTGTATAAGGGTGAAATGTAAGACTCCTTCATGAAACGAGGAAAAAAGTAGTTGTTCAAGAATCCTAACATTAGTTTCTGGCAGGGAACTAGTAACAGTTAATAAAGAGCTTGCAGCAGTTTGTTCTCTAAAATCACACACAAAATTATAGTGCTCTGAGATGACTCGACAGTTTAAGTGACACCTTCACTTGACGGTATCTAACCTTTAAATCATTTAACATACCTGTTCTAATTGGGTCTACTTCATTTTGCGAAGAGGGTAGTATTTCATTTCTGCCCATGTCCAGAGATACCACGCATCCAAGCACAGTTCTGCTGGCAAGAAAGTTATTCTGTGGAGGCAGGAAATAAACCGTTTACTGGGTTCCTGTGTGACTCCTCTGCTTACTTAACATTGTCCCAACACCCATCTTGCACTCTACATAAAGATGTTTACACTGCTGTGAGTTTGGCAAAGCAAAATATTTTTTTTGTCTTCTAATGTTGATGAAGGAGAAGATAATTCTGTTTGGTATGTTAAATTTAAGCTGTTTTTTTCCCTTTAGGGTTGAATTTACAAAGGTGGCAGCAGATCCCTCAATTGTTAATCTTGGTCAAGGCCTTCCTGATATATCCCCTCCCAGCTATGTTAAAGAAGAGCTGGCAAATGTAGCAGCAGTTGACAGACTGAACCAGTACACACGAGGCTTTGTAAGTACTGTGGAACTGGAGGATCCAAGTTCAGGGAGAAAATTTAAGACTTTAACTTGGTTTTACCAGTAGTTTGTACTCTTATGCCCCTAGTTTTCTTAACAGATTTATCAGTTACTAACCAGCGTCCTCTGTGTAGGCTTCTTCAAGGCAGAAACTTTTAGCAAGAGCAAAATGGTAGAGCATGAAATTGCATGACCCTTCAAAGATGATATAAATCAATGCAAAGGTTAAAGATCGTAAATTACACATTTACTGCTGATTATGGTCAGTGTAAACATGAGTTAGATAGGCTAAACCTAGAATGAGACAGAAGTACTTGATATCAGCTGAGACAACCTCCTGGATCAAGAAAAGATTCACCCATAACATTAGTAGAAATGAGGAAGTGATTGAAAGAGTAAGGTTTTGCCTCTGGAGGACAGTCACTACACGTTGGATAAGTTGTCTTGTAGCATTTAAGTCCTGAGCTGGGTGTGAATGTGTGGCATTTGTCATTGTCCAAGGCAGGGCAATGCCTGTTACTCTCTTTTAGTGTGATTGTTTTCTTGTTCCTGTTTGGTTTGTCTTTCTCACTTTTTGTGGTAAAGATAAACCATACTGCCCAACTGAGAATCATGTGTTAGGGTTGCTACAAGATCCTAAGGAGTCAATCTAATGTTTTTCTAGATGATCACATGATGTAGCAGTGGGAGGAAAGCATTGTACAGACTGGTAAGCCAGTGATTGAGTTGGTACTTGTAGCGTCATTGCTCATATATTCCAATATAACCTGTTGCCTGTTTTCTGAGGATCTGCATGTATTAGAACTGGGAGGGAGCAGCAATGGCCAGCAGCTCCCTCAGGGACAAACTATCACAACGAGCGGAGTAGAGGCTGCATCAGCCAGGGCCCAGTGCTGTGGTACCTGAGCAAGGCAGGCCAGGAGGTGGTAGCTGAGGTGAGGTGAGCCCAGATGGCCAGGAAGCTTGTGGTGGTGAGATGGTCTGAGGTCAAGCCAGGGGGTCAGCACACAAACCAGGCCCAGCAGTGTTAACCACGGTTAGACACAACCCAGTGGTTGCTGGGCAGGTCTAGAGGAAGAAGGCAGGTGCAAGTTCAAGCCACGAGATCAGCCCGCAGGTAGGGGCCTAGGATCAACAGGGGCTGTGGACAGGTACAGGCATGGCTGTAACAATTGCAGGCCAGCAAATGCAAAAGCATAGCACTTACATGGAGCCTTTGGACCAGGAGCAGTTGTTTGGGTAGAGGATACAGGTGAGGCTGGTGAGGGTCATTAAGGGATATTAGGGCACTTGGAACTCTGATAAGAATAGAACAAAAAATTCTGTACTTAATACAGTCTCATTGTCATCCCTATTTGGGTCACTTTGTTTAGTCACCTTTAGCTGATGGCAAGTGTGTGTGTGTGTGTGTGTATGTGTAAATCTCAAAAGTGTAAAGCCATTGTTTCATGGCACTCAGAAGACAGCTGGAATTTAGTGACCTTCTGGACTAAACGTGAATATGTTTACCAGCCACAATAAGTTAACTGAAAAGTCTATGCTTGCCAGCCAGACTGCGTTATGGAGGAGCCGTGGCACAGAATTGTTACAGACAGAATGGGCTACGGTCCCCTGTTGAGCAAATAACCACAGAACAATTCCCTAAAACAATTAGTGAGTTAAGCATAAATATAATTTTTCCACTGTGTGCAATTATTCAGTATTTAGTTGTATTTAGTTCTGTCCTTTTGCTCCTTACTTCTAAATTCCCTTGATATTTATGAACATTTGCAGTTGTTATACTGTGAATAGTAATTAAAGAGGATTTTTTAACCAATATTCTCATCTTCTGCTTTTGTGCATTCTCTACAAACTCCTGCAATTCTAAGTTTTTTTTGAACACAAGTATTTGTGGATAGCAAACGTGGGAGGGATGAATATGAATGATGCACATCCATCTGATAATTGAGACATTGTCCCAAGTGTCTGCAGCACTTGGGCCTCTTGTTGCCTGTGGGGCTGTGACCTAATGTGAGCTGGGTGGTGCAGCATTCCTGTGCAGTTGACACGCTCATGGGAAGAAATGGCTGTCATTTGAATCAGCAATGATTTGCAAGCCTTAATTCGTGGTAATGTTTTTGTTTACAGAGGGGTTCATGATTTTTTACCTTACATGTGGAGGTACAATATTCAATATTTTAGCGAAGGGCTTTTTTGTTACATAGCTGCATTTTCCTACAGAGCTGTTTTTTCATACTTGGTATAAAGATAGAAAAGATAAGAGATTTTCAGAACAGGAAAACTCTAGTCCTCCTGAGTAAACAGAAGTGTGCCGCCTTATTTATATGTTGTAGGTGGTCTTTGTTTTATTGTTTTCTTGTTCTTTGCACATTTTGGGAAGAATACATTAATGACTGTGTTCCTGCAGGAGACAAATGGTAAATGGTGCTCTGAGGTTTGGAGTATCATTATAGGAATCGTAATTTTGATCACAAGTGCTGTTTATCAGGAGTTTATAAAAAGGTTTAAAAAAATTTCCCTTGCACCAAAAAAAACTTCGTTGAAAGAAAACAAAAGAAACAGAAGGAGCTTCAGATGGAGATATGGTCAGGTAGGAAAAAAAGACTCTAAAAGGAATGAGGATGAACTAGTATTTGCTTCTCTCTTCCTATCTCTTGTTCTAGCTCTTCTGTAGGCTACCTGAAGCTATCCTGAGCTTCAGACAAATAACAAGACAAAAATTCAAAAGAACTAGATAAAAAAAATCCCCAAAGATACAAATAAAATCAAATAACTTTTCTTCCCCATGTATAAAAATTTTAAACCATACCACCTGTTGAAAACTATTAATACTGAGCATCCATCTCTCATTCTTATGCTCCAAAATGTATAATTTCCTTCCATGTTGGGAGGGGAAAAAACAGCAAAAAATGTGTTGCATTCCTGAGAATGTACAAAGCCCATCAGTTGCATTTCTTTGCTTTGGACAGGGGCATCCGTTGCTGGTGAAAGCCTTGTCTCAAGTGTATGAGAGAGTTTGTGGAAGAAAGATTGACCCTCTCACAGATATCCTGGTGACAGTAGGAGGTTATGGATCTCTCTTTAGTACAATACAGGCTTTAATTGAAGAGGGAGATGAAGTAAGTTTTTTATTTAAAATTCTCACTGAAATGACAATTTCTATGCCTTTTTGATAATGATACTGAAATTAATGGGGGGGGGATATTTCCTTGTGCCTACAGTGGACAAGAGTTTGTTGTTGCATTTTGCTTTCAGCGTTTCGTCAGTTTCATTTGTATATTGTATTCTCATCTGTATCCTTTATTCCTTTTTTGTTGCTCTGATAGTCACTTTTTTTTTCTTTAACAGTTCTCTGATCTTAGCTCTTCATGTTTGTTTGTTTATCTGCCATCTTTGGTTATCTCCCATCTTTGTCTGGCACTTTCACATCTCTGTGCAAGATCCAAGCAACCCTGATGTTATATGTTGACATCTGTAAAGTAACTAGAGAACAGCCTGTGTCTGTCAAAAAAAAAAAAAAAAAAAAAAAGAGTCGTGCTTATCATACTTAAACTGAGGGCATTTTATATGAAGTTATGTGATGGAAGAGGAACGTTCTGCAATTTTAAAACCAGGCAGGAGTGCCAGAAACATTATCAAGTTATATTACCAAAGCAAATCTGGAAATATGATGGCATCACACACTGAAGATTTTCTGTTTCTGATACTCATGATTATAATTTCAGGTAATAATAATAGAGCCGTTTTATGACTGTTATGAACCAATGGTAAAGATGGCGGGTGCGAAGCCTGTTTTTATTCCTTTGAGAAATGTGAGTAGCTTTTAAAAATATATTTATTATATGCAACTGTTCTTCCATACCTAATACAGTTTGATGAACACCTTGTAGGAGATGCTTTTCTCTATAGTTTTTCATAATATCCAATTATATAAAAATGAGATAGACTCACGCTATAGTGATCTAAAGTGATGATAATCCAAAGCAGGTAAAATATTTTCCTGGTATTAGTAAAAGTAGGACAACATTTCTCATTTAGTGTAATCAGCTTTCAGAACGCACAAGTTAATGTTCCTTTGTTTGGATGTGATCAGAAAATGTTTTCAGTAGAAATACAGGAAGGATGATCATATCAGTGATCATTCTGTATCTGCCACATCTCAAAATGTTCGGTTTCTGATGCCTTCAGCAACTTGTATAGTGATAGAATGTAATTTCTTTTCTAAAATCCACTTACTAAATAAGCATTTATGTGGTAGACATCTTCCTTATTGGCATCTTGGAAGGATTTTTATGGATGCAAAGTGTTGATGCTGTTAATGGAGGAGGGCTGAGGGGCTGTTTATGCAGTACTGGAGGGAGTAGGTGAGACTACTCCTTGTGGTGCCCTCCTTCTTAGGAATGGGGTTCCTCCATGGATTTTCTGTTTCATGCTTTCTTTGTTTGTTTGGCCCTCTCCCAGTAATGCACAGGTGTCAGAAAGTTATTACTGCCAGGCTCATTGTTCTCAGCAGAAGCAGACCCAAACTTTTGTCGTCCTCATGTAATGCCTCAGTGGAATGTATTTTTAACTGTTAGGCTGTTTTCCTGTAGATTAGGAAGGAAAGAGCTGATGTCCTAGTCCAGCAGGCAGTGATAAGTCTTTCCAGCCAAACATACACACACTTGTTCTAGTGTATGAGAAGGCCATAAACTCTCCTGTTGTGTGACTTCCTGCATTACACGCTATATGGTCAGTGTATGGGTAAGACAGACAGTGGCCAGGAGAAGACTGTTGCTGTCATAGAAATGTATCTTGCTCTTGGCCTCACTGCCTGTTCCTGGAGGGTGCCCCCTCCCAGGAGAACAGGACAAGTGGGATAAGTTGTGTGTGGTTAGTAAAGTGTCAGACGGTGATAACTTGAGCATCTCTGTTTAGTCTGTAACATGTTGCATCCCAGTAATGCATGTTAAGTTCTTGTTTATTTATTTTTAAGAAAAATGATGGAAACTCTGCATCTAGTGCTGATTGGGTCTTGGATCCTGCTGAACTTGCAAAGAAATTTAACTCCAAAACAAAAGCGATTATTCTGAATACCCCACACAACCCTATAGGCAAGGTAAGAGTCCTCTTTTAATGCTATTGTAATTTCAGAGCATGTCTTAAAGACTATGATTAATGCATTGCCCTTGCTTTCTTGCATTCTAGGTATTTACTAGAGAAGAGCTCCAGGTAATAGCTGATCTCTGCATTAAACATGATACCCTGTGCATCAGTGATGAGGTGTATGAATGGCTGGTGTACAAAGGAAAAAAGCACATCAAAATAGGTACTGATTTTTTTTTTTGTGTGTGGTATTGTAGAAGTGGCTGTGGAATGGTATTTTCTCCATTTAGTGAGGGCTATAGTAGGAGCATGGCATTACTGTAGAAATTGATTCTTAAAAATAACAAAAAAAAATACATATCTAAATGACCTTGCAGTGCTCAGCTACAGAGCTGCTGATCATACAGCTGTACTATGCTGATTGGATTGGCCATGCATGGGCTGAGTCTGTTTTGAAAGGCCTGTCTTCATGGCTGTTGTGGTGGCTTGATAGAGATACCTTCATGCGATTGTAATCTGAGTTAGTGCATCATACGAAGTTACCACAGTAACTGGTGCTTTATCCTGTCCCAATTACAAAGTAAAATGAGTTAGATTAAAGCTTTCTTGGTGGACTTAGCAGGTGGTTCATGCAAATAGCCGTCTTTAGAACCAAAGTCTCTGTGGGTGGTGCAAGGTAATCCATTTTCCTTTGCCATGGCAGCAGGTTTGAACACTGATGTTGTCAGTTGCACTTTGTCTTAGTAGACAGGTGGTGAATTCTTAAAACACAGTAACTTCATTGTTCATTAGTGTCAGTATTGTCATGTTAATGCTTCAAACCAAAACATTTACAGTTGAACAAAAGACATTCTGTAGTTTAGCAGAAAATGTAAAAATCCCTTGTAATGATAATGCACGTTAAAGCCTGGAAAGTTAGTCAACTTGGTTTTGGTATATACTCTGTAATGGATCCCATGACATTACCTTTTAACTTCATTGTTAAAATGACCGTACAACTTTCAGGATAAAACTGTGAAAAATAGCATTATTTCAGTAAAAGAAACAAGATCTATTAACTTCAGTTTCTTAGGCTTCTTTAAATCTACAAAAAGATAATACAAGAAAAAAATGAATGTTATGTCTCTAAAAGCTCCTGTTTCCATATTAACCTTTACATGTTCCATCAAATGCAATGACATTTCCTTTGTGAGATGCAAAATGGTTATTGCATCAATTTAGTGTCTGATTTGTTAAGTTATATTAAGAAATCATGGAGTTGCTAGCCACAGGTCATGAAATTAGTGCAGTCTTTGCTGTCACTGAGGCAGTTTTCTGCTGTGCGGAGCACTCAGTCATGTTTCTCATCGTTATCCAACTTCTGTAAAAACAGTGAACCTCCTCTAAGTAATGATTAGTGTTGCACTGGCAGATTTAGGGGTTCCGTGTTGTAACTGAGGATTCAAAACAAGCATCCCAACAAGCTGAGTGCAAGCCCAGGTAACAGACTTATGTGTGTCGGTTTGCGCTTTGTTAGTTATAAATTGTAATCAGAGTTGGTTGTGGTGTCATATAATGATGTGTCATGAAAGAATTTGCCTATTTAAAACCTGCTGCTTGTAAAAGTGATGGAGCTGATCTTTCCCCTGTGCCCTTTTGCTGCAGCTATTGTTCGAAATGATTTCTGTCTCCCAGGTTGAATTCCTATGACTGTGTGGCAAAACAGTATCACTAGAGGGCATTTGCTTTGAAATTCAAGTCTTCTGCAGTTTGTGAGAACTAGTTTGGTCATCTTTGGGAAGTGATGTATATACTCTTGACCTAGCTAGCTAGAAGATGCATCTGTTCAAACTGCCTTTCAGTTTTCAAGGTCACAGAGCAGTTAAGTGAATATGGGTGAGCTAATAAGAATATGAGTCTCTTTCCTGCTAATTGTTTTGGTTCTTTTATTGGCAAGTGTGCTCAAAAGAGTACAATGCATGTTTTCAAATAATTGCGAAGACCTGTACCATGCTAATGAATGTAACTGCTGCAAAAACTTCCTTATGAAAATCAGCGTTTGTGTTTGGAAAAATCTGTGTTCACTGGTTTCCCCAGAGAGGGAATTTAACAATTGACAAATTCACTGGTAGCATTGTAATATACAAGCGTGGTGGAGTCAGGTGGTGTTGAGCACTGTAACTGCAGCTGCAGTAATGTTATGACCTTATTTAGTTTTTTCTCTCAGACTTAAGTGTGTCTTGATTTACCTGTTTCTACTGAAAACAAGTTGAGTTAGAGTCCAAACTGTGAAGCAATATACAAAAGAAAATTGCAAGCTGACAGAAAAGACTTTTGCTCTGTCACCTCCTTTGAAAGAAAGCAGAGGGGTTTAGTCTCCTACAAGATACAAATACAGAGATGGAGATAGGCCTCCATGAATCCCTTAATCCTTGCAGACATCCTTAGCTGGCTTTTATTGCTTGTCAGTCCCAGACCTGTTGAACAAAACGTAATGTCTCTCTGCTGAGTTTCTGATTTTTGTGGCATTTGGTTCTGGGTTAGACGTCTTTAGAAACTTTCTGATTTCTGAGATATCCATTGCTGAACTGTTTGCTAAACAAGTCTGTTAAGATGGCTGTGAGTACTTGAGTTCATGTTGTGTATAGTGTTGTTACCAGGCATCAGAAATAATGCTGTACTGAGATGAATGTGTAGCACTTACTAGATCGTATCTCTTATGAATAATTTTGCATCTTAGCTGAGAAAAACTAAGATAGAAAAATAGAGGCACAGTTAGTGAAAACTTTCTCTTTCTCCTTTCCTTAATTCTGATCTTATTTTTATACCAGAATCATTGGCCCATATGTTCTTTCTCACTTGTTACAGTTGCCGTAATTTTAGAATGTTCTCCCTGCAATGGTGTATGAACATACTGTAGTTCTTAGCTAGGGGCAGTACAGTTTTTCTAATTACATGGAATATGTGAGTGTACATATAACCAATTAATCTTATTTTATATACAGCTACATTGCCGGGTATGTGGGAAAGAACAATAACTATAGGAAGTGCTGGAAAAACTTACAGTGTAACTGGCTGGAAGGTAAGAAGAATCAATAGAAAAGAATTATGTTATATGAATTACAAAATGCATCTATCATGCTCTGTTTTTGTTACCTGTCTTTTGAAAGCGTTTGGCAAATATTTGTGTCTCCAAAAAGTGAAGATAACATTCAATTGGAACAACTGTCTACTTAGAACATCCATGTTTTAAGTCTATTCTTACCTCTTGATTAATATTTTATTGTGAGAAAATAATAATTTAAAAAAAACACTGCATGGTTTGTTCAAAATCAATCAAAATTAATGGAGAACACTCTCATATTTTAATATTCCAGTTTTGTGGAATTTCAGATTGAGGTAGTATTTTCAGATTGAAAAGGTAGCTATTTTCAGATTGAGGTAGTATTTTAGAATGGTTTATATTTCTGTAAATATTTAATAATAATGTTTTGCTTGACTTTAAAATACGTATCAGAAAGTAAACAAAATATTTAAACGTTTGGCGGCTAAATTCTTTCTTTATCACCACCTGTGGTCCAACTGACATGATATTTGAGTTATATCTGGTTAAGAGTTTGATTCAATAGCAAGCTCTTGTTTTAAGCTCAAAATACCCTGGATGTGGACCCCTGTGAGATGGAAAGATCCTAAACCAATAAGGAATAGTTCCTAATGAAAACTTTGTTTTAATTCTTCGTATAGCAGGGTTTAGAAATCAAAGTTTGCTTAGTACCATTTGAGAGATGTGGGTAGGTGAAGCTGTAACTGTTGCCTCACATTTAGACTTTCTTAATGGCATCATTCAGCAAAGTTTGGGTAAGCTAGCCCTTTTCTGGATTCTTTATCAAAACTATTTTATGACTAATTCTGAAAAAAAGAAAAACTCAAGATGTTTGTTAACTTTAATGTTAATTTGAAGTAACAGCATTGCTGTAAGTATAACTTAAGCATGTTTTCTTCCCTTAGCTTGGTTGGTCTATTGGTCCCCAGAACCTGATTAAGCATTTGCAAGTTGTTCATCAAAATACACTGTATACTTGCCCAACTCCATTACAGGTAGGTACAGATGAAGCCGAGGAGGTTATTTTTCTGAGCATAGCAAATCTGTAGGCCTATGGTAAAACAATCTATGGTAAAACAATCTATGGTAAAACAATCACAGCGATTAATTTTCTGGGGTGCTAAAAGAGGAAGATAAACTCAATCAGCTCACCAAATGTTTTAAAGAACAACAGAACTTTCAGTTACAAACTGCTGCTTGTTGCATAAGACAAACATGACAATCTTTGTAGTTTTCTACCAAATAGAAGTAAAAGTGGTTGCAATAAGGTCTTGTTTTACTGAGCATTGTCTCTACCTGCTAGATCACATTTTTTTATTAGTATTATGTATATGATTACTGACTAGTGAGTACTTGGGTGCTTGGGATGTTGCCACAGTATAAAGAGACAAACAAATGATGCTACTGGATGTAGCTTGTCTAATTTGCTGATTTGCTTAATAAGGGCCAGATCCTGCTACAGGATCAGGGAAAAATCTGTATGATTTCAGTAGGAGGCGTGTGTGTCTGAGTGTTTTTGAACATTTGTGTTTCCAGGAGGCTTTGGCACGAGCATTTTGGATAGACTATAAACGCATGGATGACCCAGACTGCTATTTTTACTCACTGTCTCGAGAGCTGGAAAGCAAGCGTGATCGGATGGCTCAGCTACTTCAAGAAGTTGGACTGAAGCCTGTCATTCCAGATGGAGGATACTTTATGATTGCCGATGTTTCTACATTAAGTTAGTAAAAAGCTTATTAAAAAATGTGTGGAAAGCAATTGGGTAGTTAGTTCAAAATGAAAGCTGCATTTTCAGCTTAACTTCTCTTTTCATATTCACATAACGCTTGTCAGAAATACTAACTGAGACTGGAATTTTCTATTTGACTTCAGCCAGGAGCTAGATTTTACAAGCTTTAGCAAAACATTTGTGATTCTAACTACTGTCCTTGTTTTGCAAAGCTTAGGTAAAGTTTTAGGAAGGGCAAAGGAGATCGATTAAAAACAATTTCTATTTTTTTAGAAGTCTGTGATTATGAAAAGTTTGGGAGCCAAGCACCTGGCTTTATATCCTGAGTTTGTACTCAATTAATTGTTATATGATTTTATTTAAAAATATTATTAAATTATATCTTTACTCTGTAGCATTAACTGTAAGAGTGCCTTCCCACCGGAGTCTAGGAAATCTTACAATACAATGTCTGTTTTAAACTTATTTTTTTTTAGATGTGGATCTCTCTGATGAAGATGGGAATCAACCTTATGATTATAAATTTGTCAGATGGATGATAAAATCTAAGGTAAGGTATCCTAGTTGTACTCTGTTTTTAGAAATGCTTTTCTAATGAAACCAAGAGCAGTGCAACCATGCTTACTCAATAACATAGTAGGGATACTACATCCAAAATATTGTTTGTTTATACTAACTGCTGGAAATGTTGTGGCTAAAATATTGCTAAGCATGCTTTGTGTTAAGTCCCAGCACTTGTTCTTTCTCCGGGCTTAGATGCTAGTTGTAGAAAAGTACCTTTAATCTGTTTTGCCTAAGAAAAGTAATTTGAATTTAGTTAAGCCTAGTTAGTAAATACAAAATCCAACCTTGTATTTCCTTTTAATGTTTGGAGAGTTACAGAAATGAAATAGTAAAGTCATGCTTAAAACTATTTTTAAGTATGTATGTATAAACAAATAATATTTCTGTTTTATTTTCCAGAAACTCTCAGCGATTCCTCTTTCAGCGTTCTGTGGTCCTGAGACAAAAGGGAAGTTTGAAAAATATATACGTTTTTGCTTCATTAAGGTAAATATGTGTTGTGGGAAGACCTGAGGCTCAAAAATCAGTGCAGTACCAAAACTGTAAGAGGCTATTTGTTACGTTTTTGCCCAGGATCTGAGTTGGATGGTTTTTGAGGCAGAAAGTTAGTTTGGTGTAAAATTCAGCACAAATTAGCTTCAGCTTCCCCCCCCCCCCCCTCCAAGAGACTTGAAACCATAAATATGGGCAGCATGGTTAAGAAGGGCAGCTGCCAGAAAACAACTTGGTGGTTAGTCTTTTAGCTTTTTCTACTGATTTGTAAAACATTCTTGACTTATGGTGACCGTGAAAATGTATGAGGCAGGTATGCTATCAATTAAGGTGGATTCTCTAATCTAGAACGAATAACAATGCATAAGAGATCTGTATACCGCATGTCCATTCAGTTTCCAAAAACAAAAATAGTAAGTAGGTCACCTTCAAGTTTAGCTCACTTACCTGAAAATACCAAGGATTTTTCAGAGGCTGCAAATTACAAAAAAAACACAAAGACACAGGGAGGAATCTCACCCATTTTTGTTTTTGAAGAAAACAGAAATTGTGACTTGGCTGACATCTGCCATTTTGTGAGCACTTGCTTTTCACATTTTCTTAACTCCTGTTTCACCTGCTTCTGTTCTTGAAAAGAAAGACTTTGGGGATGTGCATAAGCTTTGATAAACTGACTGCCCTAAGAGATGTTTCTCCTATTGCTTTGTCACAGACTTAACATGATGGAATGTGTGCAGACTCTTTTACTTCTACTAGTATAGACTTGTAGCTATAACTGTTAATGGGAAAACTGACTGGGATATTTACAGGATATAAGTGACACTGCCAAATACTGATTTGGGATCATGTAATTGTGACTGCTACTTTGTTTTCAAGAACTCTGTACTTGTAGTAATAGTGGTATTCCATTTTTTTGCAGGAAGACAGCACACTGGATGCAGCTGAAGTGATCCTGAAGAACTGGACTAAACAGAAAAATTGATATATGTATATATATACATTAATTAACTCTTCCATCTGGTATAATTATCTTACACTAGAGTTTTTTTATTGCAAATTTAAGATTTAATTATTAAATAATTTACAGTATAGAATTAATGATATTGCAAATAACTGTGTTACCACCTGCTGAGGAGTTAAAATGCGGATTTACTGAAATGTATAATGCAGCTGTCCTGGTTTCAGTTAGGATAGAGTTAATTTTCCTCCTAGTAGCTGGTAGGGTGTTCTGTTTTGGCTTAGGATGAGAAGAGTGCTGATAACACACTGATGTTTTAGTTGTTGCAGAGCAGTGCTTACATCAAGCTAAGGACTTTTCACCTTCTTGCTCTGTCCTTCCAGTGGCAGGCTGGGGGTGCGGCAGGAGCTGGGAGGGGACAGACCCAGGACAGAAACTCAAGTTATTTTCAGTCTTTTCAAAATTATTTTTTCCTTAATAAAAAAAAAAAAAAAGTAATATTCACATCGTTTACTGAAATACAAAGATTTCTGGGATCATGTAAGAATAAATACATGATACAGGTATTCTAAAATTTTGGTATGGGGTTATATATAGGAATTATGGGTGAGACTTCAACATTGTGATTTGTGAAACCCTATAGCTTGCAGTGGAGGAAAACTAAGACATCACAAATAAGGTAATTGCAGTACCTTTCGGCAATTTCTGCAAAGTACCTGCCTACCATATCTGTGCACAAAAGGCATCAGTTTAGGTAAAGTGATTGAGTTAAATCAATATAGTGTTTATATATAGGCAAGATATAAAATGCTAAGTTGCATAATCACTATTTCATTTTCTCTCAGTAGTCGTGCTGTTCGGAAGGTATTCATTCCTCAATAAAATTACAAAAGTGACATCTAGAATAGGAATTTTTTTCTTTATGTCTACCCTCTTGTTTACTATGTGGATGAACCTACAAAGAGAAATAAAAGAACTTGCTATAGAGGCTCCTTCACAATCAGATGTACAGTGAGAAAATTAATCCTGTAATCTCTTTTCCGCTCTTTGCATGTTCACAAAAGCTATTGGTAACTTCACACCAAATTTATTTTAAACAGTTAAGATCTAGGAACATGGAGATGAACCTAATATTGTGCTATGGAGATCCATTTTTGACTATTTCAATCTGAGTGGATAAAGGACTGATTCAAAAGAGATCAATGTGGAGAATTCTTTCATTGTTCCCTCCTGTCCGATCTTCTTAATCTCTGGATGGTTTCCCACTAGCAGAAGCAATCCAGGTAGGTAAGCTTTTAAGTCTGTGTTAATGTTCTTCACGTTATTTTACATTGTTCCCACAGGCCTTATGGTAGAAAGTCTAAACAAACTCAATAGCTAGTTTTTGCAGCTATTCTGTGGTCACAGAGCTGGAATCTAGTGGAATTCCATTAGTCTGTGACTATGGCAAGGCCTAAAAATAAAGGATGGAAACTGGGCTGCGAGAACAGCTGCTAGGCTGCTTTGTTGGGAGTTCTTTGACTTTTTGAGGCCAGGAGCTGGGAGTTCTGTAGTCTTTTTTCATTTGTCTTGCACTGCCATTCCCCAGATCTCACCAGAAAATTGTTACCTGATATTTTCAAGGGAGCCTGTAGTCTTTGTGTAGAAAAATAAATATAGTAATTAAAATGACTTGAATGAAATTTCAGCATGAATTTCACATGGAAATTACTATACAAAATCCCAGAAATTCCAGGAAGAATATGTTGTTTTAAGATACTGCATTTCTGTGAAATTTACACTGTTTTACCGGGCCTTTAAAATCCATTTGTATAAGTTGCACTAGAGAGTTGTGGTGTTGCAAGAACTAAGGGGGTAGCCCAAGTCCGTTGAGCTGCATGATGATTTGGGCAAAGAAAATGTAAGGTGGACTACCATTTTAATTGAAAAGTGAATACTCATAACATTAAACAAATCTTTGCTAGCATAAATGCAAATTTAAAACGTAGGTCTTTTATGAAATGTTTTCAGTTATGATCATGTGAATCAAAACTTCCCAGCTGATTAGCCTCTCATTTGATACAAAATAATAAATATTTGAATTTTGTTTTCTTGTCTATGGAAGCAGTGCTTTGCAATGCAATTAAATCTTATGCCAGTAATGTTATTTTTGTCATTATGCTTGTCTTAAATATAGCAGCTACAGAACACAGTTCTCTAAGTATTTTTAAAACCCCATTTGTGCTATCTAAGGTTTCCCAGAAAGAGATAGTTGTTAGCGTGTGAGCACCCATAAAAACTAGGTTATGTATCCTCACAAAAGTAGAAAGGTACCAAGGGTTCTTCTAGTCACCTCTTCACTGTGTTTTCATTGCCCTTTAAACAAAAGCCCCTCTGCTTCCAAAAGACTTAATCCAACAAGACTATTAATATCTCTGCTTATATTACTCTCATTGGCAAATGGGATATCGTGTAAAATCAGTCTAGAATATGCATGAAAGAAAAATGACATGCAGGGCTCAAGAGGAAATTAAGGAAAGTACAGCAAAATGATTGGTTTTCTACTGCTACATCTTACTGTGTTTCAAACACTTCATTGGTATGCTAATAACTCGTATGCTAAAGCACCAAATCTGAGTGGGGACACACAGGTGGCTGATATTTGAAGATACCTCTGCATTTTGTACGGGTCCAGAGACTTTCTCACGCTATGGGACCCATTGTATTAGTCTTCAGTTAGTTTTATTTTTTTCCCATGTTGTCCAGGTGCTGTTAATGTGCTAATCTTTTTGTTTCATCAAAGGTTTGAACATGTAAGATAGAGTACAGAGATGAATTAATGTACCAAGCATAATTCAGCTGCTCTGGCTGTCTATTGTTTTCTTCGTTTGTTCCTTTGAGACATTTGACTGACATCTGCTATTTGAACAAAATGAACATCAGATAACTCAACAAACCAATTTCAAAGGACTTTTAGATAAACAAGTAAGATCTGATGACTTATTTTCATTAATGTACTATTCATTGTGTTCACAAAGGCAGCTGAATATCTTGTTGCATTCTTGATGGAATGATGCTGGTATTGTTAGTAATGTAAGAATTGCAATTTAATTACGCTGACAGTAGCCACCATGAGATAACTTTGGATGAAATTTTAAGAAACCCCAGAATGACCAGTGAAGTAGAATGGTTTAAAAATAGGATTATTGTTGCGACTACAGCAATGAGAAACAACAGAAACAGCTGGGGATAGCAAGGTGAACTTTCCAGAAGCTATGAAAACAGTCTGTTGTTGAGACTGTCAATAGTGCTGTTCTGATCTGCCATATCAACCACTATTTTTGGCTGCTTGGGGACAAAGCACTTGAAAAATTGCTGCAGACAGGAAATACAGAAGTGCTGAGATATGATCTATTGTATTTTTTGCAACAGTTCTAAAACTGATTGTCTTTCTGTACTGGAAATTAAACTCTTTCAATTCTCGTTAATGACAATATGGTCAGGAAGGACCTGCTGTTGACAGTGGTTGTCAGCAGAAGACCTTTTTCAAAGAGCAGATTATATGAAAAGCCATGACAAACCTTGAAAGCTTGATGGGACTGACAGTGCTGATGTGGTACAGCTGTTGGAGACAGCTACACCCAAATTTCAGAAGTTACAGGGAAATGTAATATAGGAAGACGTGTTTAGCAGGGGAGATGAGGTGGAAACGGAACACAACTTCTTAAGTACTATTTAATCTTTTGGTTTTATCGAGGATTTGTGAAAAGGGTCATTGCAAAGGGGAAGAAGTAAATTTTAAATTTGTCTAAGTGTCCGTATCTTCTAGTAGTTCATCTTCTTTTTATCCTAAAGCTTCTGTTTATTTATCTAAAGTAAAAAGAGGCTCTTGGCAAATCCACCCTGAGCTCAGTGTGTGCACACTACCGTGCAGTCTGGGGCAGGGGTGTTCTCCAAACGGAAGCCCTGCTGTCCAGTTTTAAAATGAAAACTGAAAGTGTGTGTTTGGGTGTGGTTGCTGTTTGGGGGCTCTGTTCTGCGTTAAACTGATCTCAGAGTTGTATCAGGTCTTTAATTTAGTAAGGCATTTAAGTTAACGTTGAATACGAGCTTCAGGAAGTATTTACCCCTCACACCAAGAATAAAAAGAAGTGCAATTTTATTACACACTTATAATTTCTACCTCTTTGTTTCTATTAGTGAAATATATGTTGGTAAGCACAATAAAGCTCTGTTTAGGGCTAAGTGAAGGTTCTTCCTCTGTCTTCTTTACCACAGGACTTTGCCGCACCTGGACAGAGCCCTAAGCAGAAGGGTGCCCAGCAGTTGTGTGAATAGTGGTGGTAGCAGCAGGGCTTTCCAGCCTTGCTGCATTTCCTTTGAGCTACCCACGGGCAAAATACTCCACTTCGACCTCCTCAGGGCTGTGAGCAGCCCCCTGGGGTATCCCCCGGCCCCCCCCGGCTGTCTCAGCCCCGCCGCGGCCCTGTCACCGAGCCCCCCCCCGCGGTGTGTGCCCTGGCGCGGCCCGTAGCGAGCGGGCTGGCCCCGCCCCCCGGCGGCGCTACATAAGGGGCAGCGCTGCGCGGCCGCCTGACTCCACGCACCGCTGCGGCCGGGCGCTGACATGGCGTCCACCAGCCGGTGAGCGCCGGGACGGGCGGGGGGGGCCATTTGGGAAGGGGGGGGGCGCTGCGCCACGTCCCCGCGGCACAAAATGGCCGCAGCGCCCCGCTGAGCCGAGGAGCCGCGGGGCCGGCTTGGGGCCGCTCCGGCTGGCGGCCGGCCGGGCCTCCGCGGCCTTGACCCTGCGAAACGGGCTGGGGGGGGGGGTGCCGGAGGGGGGGCGCGGTGTGAGGGGCATCGCTCCCGGCGGCTGGGCCCAGGCCTCTCCCTGCGGGCTCGCCGCTGCCCTCCCGCGCCAGGAGCGGGCCCAGGCCGCGTCTCGCCGGGAGCCGGCCTGCGGAGGCGGCGCCGCGCTGAGCGGCTGCTGGGCCCCCGGCCTGGTCTGTCCCGGTAACGCGGTTACTGCTCGCACAGGAAAGCCCCTTTGTGGCAGCAGTTTGCGGAGGTGAAGCCTCAACGCAGCGCTCTTCGGGCTCCCTGAAGCTGTTTAGGGTTTCTTCTCCCCCTTATCGCGTCGCTGATATTTTGCATGACG